GTACGTGGCTGGCGCCTTAGCCGGTTGAGCCATAGGCGCCGAGCCCCCAGCTCGGTTCTTCCCTTTGCCAAGCGTCAGGGTCAGTCTAGAAGAGGTGAGGAATAAAGGAGCCTAGAGATTCTGTCTCAAATGTTTGCCAAAGAAGGTAATTTTACGGCACCTGCCCCGTTACCCATTTATTCTTTCAAGGTGACTCACCCATTAAGTACAGGGCAACAGTGCCCCCTAGTTCTCGCCAGTTCTCGGGAGTTATGGTGACCTCGCAGGAGTTAGCCAGCGACTCAGGGATTTTTAGACTCTGGGATATTTCTAAATAGGCTGAGAATTCCTGGTGGAACTAAAGATTATGTGGTCTTACAACCTTAAAATTTAGTAGTTTAGCCAAAAAGAAAAAAGGATTTAATTCTGTCCAAAATCTATCTTCTAATGGTTAGTATTTGTAAGAAAAAGAATCATAATTACAAATATACTTTACTGCAGCAGTATCACATGCAAATGATCTGAAGAGTTCTCAAGATGAAGACTTTTAGCAAATAAGCTTCTAGAATTACTTGGTTAGGCAAATAAACTTATGCTGACCACTATATAAATAGAACTCATGTAAGTAAAGTCTAACACGAAGACAAATTTTCCTCTTGACACTGAAAATGGCTGTTGTGAGAGCTCAATTTCCCGGTGTCAGAGGGCTGCTCCTCAAACACCCGGCACTGCCAAAGGGGCCTCAGCCGAGACAGCAAGAGCCGCCTTCACTTCTCGGCTTCCGCGGGAAGGTCGTTCTCACGGCAGCGCTCCACAAGGCCAAGGCGGCCGGTCTGGATTAGGATTATGCTACTTTAACAGAACTACACATGGCTTTAAGTGAAGGTAAAATGGTTTATAAAACACCAGACTCTAAATGAGACAGATTCTAAGGGATTAGCAAGATTAGAGCACTAATTTTCTTTTCTCTTGTTATTTCACCCACCTTAAAGCAGAGTTTTACATATATTCAGAGTTCAGAGAATCACACTGAACTATGTATTATAAATAGACACAGATAAACACACACACACATTGACACACAGGTTCAAAAGCATGATGGGTGTGGGACTCATCACTGATTCCTACATCAGTATGAAAGAGCAGACTTTTCCAGGATGTTCTGTTTATGTAATAAATTGACATCCTCCTAGGCTCTAGATCAACTAGCCCTGGAGCTACAGAAACGATTACACTGTGCTACTGGGCACGAATATGCTCTCGGGCACCCACCGCTTCACAAAAACACCATTTAGGCCCTGGGACTTAGGAGCCGAGTTCTCTCAGAAAGACCATTTGGGAGCAGTTCAGGACACTTATGCCAACATGAACCTAAAAGTCTTTAATAAACTTTAGGCACATGACGAGACAAACACACACGTGACTTTTAATTTTTAATCAAAACATGAATCATCTTCACTGCAGTGAATAAAAATTCATGACTCAGAATAGCATGCAATTTTTTTATTGTTTTCTAAATCTATTTGTACACATAATACTCTAGTCTGAATTTCACAAACAGTGCCAGAATGTACTCCAGTGAAAGTAAGCTGCAACTACTCACCTGAAAAGAAACAAAATATTGCCTCTGAAACAGTTACTAGGCATACAATACTACAAACTTATAAACACTATAAATATTAAAATTTTAAGACTTCAACATATCATGTAAATAACATCCTGTCTTCTTTTGCTTAAAACATTTGTTAAAGATCATGCAAAATAAACACTTCATTAAAATACTGTTACACTCAAACATCAAGGCAATGAAAGACAAAAGAGCAACTATTTTTAGCACAATGACTGGTTAAGTAAATAATTTATCAGCACATTAATAAAAATCCAGTAAGTGATGAACATAGCAAGTGTAACACTGACTCTAGACAATCTTGTATCTGTGACCTCACCTTCTACCATCCTATCTGTGATTATAGGGATATTCTGCCAGGATTAATTCTACATAAACAAGCAATGTTAAAATGACAAGAAAAAATTCAATACACGACGACAGGGTACTTCTCTATCCCACACAATACGTAAACATGATCATTCTCTCAACTCTGCTAACAATTAATGGAAAGTACAGCTTTATAGTCACATCAGTTTTATAGTTTTTTGGTAACCCCCTGCTTTGTTATATGTTTTAAAACTTTTTAAAAATGTTTTTCCTTTCTTATGATCCTCCCTTAGAATTAATATGCTGATTTAGGAACAGATGAAGGAGGTAAACTTTGCCCTGGTGATGGAAGGCAATGATTTAGTTTTGCCTGATTAAAATTTCCTTGTCACTTATTAGTTGTCACTGATCTTTCTGATGTAATTATTTCCTCACTCCCTCCTTCCATAAACACTCGTTAGTGCCTATTATGACTGATGGCTCCTGATTCCAGTTTCCCTACTCATTGCTCAGCTCCCTAAGAAAAAGTTGGGCACCCAATTTAAAAGAGCAGCAGAACACAGCAGGGTGGCTTCTTGGGCACAGATGGCTGGTGCTGAAGCCAGGTCTGGGACCTGAGGAGTAGAGTATCCAGGTTAATAGGGGGTCAAGGCCCCTCCCCCACCTACTTTTCCAACAGCTCATAATGACCCCATTGTACCACATGGGGTACTGTTGACATTCTTTTCAATTTTTAAAACCCTCTTTGTTATATATTTACTACTTAAAATTTAAAAACTCTATGATAAGCAATTTGTCTACTACACAGAACACTGGTTCTCAATGTAATGAGCATTTACCTTCTGGGCTACTCCATAACCTGTAAAATCTTATCCAGATTAAACTCTTAAGAGCAAAATTTGCTTTTCCTTCATCTAATTCTATACCTTCCCTCAAAAGTTTGATGACTAAATGTTCTACAAAGAGAGTCCCTGAATTTTTATTTTCTTTGCCCTTTACGTGTAATAGAATACTTCTGACCTATCCTTAGTTCTTGTCTCATCCTGAAAAGTGAGAAGAATAGTATCAGTGAGCGTTTCCGCTTCGAACTGCAATGACAATACAGGATGACCGGAATACTATCATTTCTGAGACCTTCCTTGGTTGTACAGTGTGTCTCTCTTTTACCAAAGGTCTTATCATCCTTATCATCCATTAATTATTTGTAAATGAAATATAAAGGTGATGTGCTTAGGTGGATTCAAACTCCAGGGCCATTTGGTCATTAGGGTACAGCGATCCTATTCTACTTCTGTGTGTTTCACTTAAAGAATGCTTTCTCTCTCTTCTCCAAAGCCTGTGCTCTCTGACGGGGCTGCTGCGCGGAGCTCTGCAGAATCTCTGGGGAGCCTGGTGTAACTGGCACGCTGGCTACGCTTGTGCGTCATGCTCTTCAGATTTTCATTCTGAACTGCAGTTGGGTTGGGACTGGAACTGGGCCTCAAAATGACTTGTGAGGTCTCCCTGGTCCCCTCCATCACGTCGAAATTCTGGTTGGCTCTATTAGCTGGAGCGCTGTTGTTGTTCAGGGTCACGGTGCTGGGCGTCCGGTTCAGATTGCAGGCTTGCTGGCATGTGGGCCAGTTTTCTTCAGGGCTGCTGGCGATCAAGCTGCACTCGGAAGGGCTCTTCTTGTCTTCTGAACAAATGGACATCCGAGCCATGACTGGATCCTGCAGGCCACTCAGGCTGTGGGGGAGGCCCCGCTTGCCACTGTGGCCGTTATCTTCCAGCTCTATGAGATTCGCCTTTTCGAGCTGGGACTCATCCGCAGCTTCGTTGTGAAGAGAGTGATTGGGAGAACTCTCGCTGGATCTCACCCCGGAATCGGAGGAATCCTTTTTGTCAAGGAGGGCGTCTGATAGATACTCTTTTGCTTTAATGAAGGTTCTAATGGGCTCAGCGCTGTGTTCTGGAGACCTGGACGCTCTCTCCACTTTCCCATCGGCTTTCTTGTCTCTATCGTCTTTGAGCAGCGGAGTGTTATCTGACTCTTCCGTACCAGACTCGTCCTCGTCGCTCGGGAGTTTCTGGTAGCGCATTCCGCCTCCCTTGAGCTTCAAGTCCGTCTGGAAGAGGCTGGACCTTTCAGAGGGCTTCTTGCCTGGGAGCAGCTTACTGGCCGACTGATCAGATCTCTCATCCTCCTCGGTGATGGGATCCAAGGGCGAGGCGTCGTTAGTGGAAACCCCTGAGGACGAGTAATCTACAACATCTCCCCTTTTCATCAGAAAGGGCTTCCTTCCGTCGTCTGGCTTTGCTTCACCCTCCTTGCCCTTCTCTTGCTCTAGGTTAGAATGAATAGAGCCCCCTGATGAACTCTGACCCATGTAGTATGTGCTGTGTGGAGAAGATCTGCCACTGACGGCCGCGGACCCTGCACCCCCTTCTAACTGGGACATCTGAGCAATGTATTCTCTATATGCGTCTCTATACTCAGCCTGCACCTTATCAGTAAGCTTTGAAATTTCAATACTGGAATCCTGGGAATTGAGACTCGAAAGACTTGGGGTTCTGCGAGTTTGTGACTGTGAAGACAGAAAAAAAATAATTTAAAAATTCAAATAAGCAAAAAAAAAGGCATAATAAATAACAGCTTAGGAAAAATATATGTACACTAACAATTTTAAAAGTCATTGAAATACCAAGTTCTTTTAAAATAATTTTATATGACACAGTTTAACAAAAGCTATGACCTTATAATTGTTATTAGAAAGCTTTATAAAAATTTTAATTAAATCATTTTATCATTAATATTTAAAAGTATAATTAAATGTTGTATTAACAAACACTCTTAGCACTTTTTTAAAAAATTTAATTTAACTTTTTTTTTTTTGAGAGATGGGGTCTCACTGTGCTGCCCAGGCTAGATTTGAACTCCTGGGCTCGAGTGATCCTTCCATCTCAGCCTCCCTACTAGCTAGAACTACAGGTACACACCTCCACACCCAGCCAAATCATTTGTTTTTATAACTTCAAACTTTAACTTTTATTTCAGCAAAAGCCACCTGTACTGATAAAAGATAAAAAGCTATGAGACCAATAGTTTAGCCCTAGTAAACACAGAAATAACATATTTTTTAAAGCCTGATTTCCAACATGAAGTTTTAGAACTAGAAATGCTTTAGATCCCAGAAAACCTAATAAACAAGAGTAACAAGCACAGATTAGGAAAAAGAAGGGGAAACAGAAGGAAAAAAAAATCAAGAAATGTTAAGAAGGGATGAGAGCAAGGGCTGCAACTAAGTAGAGTCTTCCTTCCAGAGGAAGACGACGTCCTGTGTCCTGGAGAGGCCCCAGTGATCACACTGAGACAGCCAGGACAGTGCCATCCTCCCATCCACTGGGCAGCAGTTTCCAGTGGTGTGCCCTTCCCCTTCCAGGGCATCCACAAAGTCAAAACTGTTCTTACACGAATACAAAGGAGGCATCTGCTTCTCAACCTCATTCCCACCAGAGCGTCCAGGGACTGTCCAGGAACTGAGATGTGTAATATCACAAGAGATTTGCAACGGGGAAGCAGGAGGAGAGCCTAAGGGTCTTCCACGAGGTCAGACATTCAAGAAATGTACAAAACAGGACTATTCTCACCACATGTTTTGTTTTGGAAAATACAGGTTCTAAATAAGTGTAAAAGGAGCCTGTGATTAAAGAAAAGTTGGAGAACTGCTGCATTAATGGGAGAGGTCTGAATTTTCAGGTCATGGTAGGAAATACCAAGCACAGTGAAGCTCAAAATGAGGATTTCTTAAGAAATTTTAAAAAGACCCTGGGGAAAAGAAAAGAGCTTCTGCTGCTGAGATAGAGGATCAAGTGTGGACAGAGCTTACTGCAAAATAAATAATTTTCATCTTAACAAAAGAATTAATACTATAGTCAACGGTCAATGGTTAAAGTAGGCAGATAATATGGAGAAAAAGATAACAACCATGGAAAAGTATTTTTACTACCAAGCCAAACACTCCTGAAGACGGCAGAGTGACATGGCAGGGCTTCCCTGAACGCTGCCCCTTCAGCAGACTTCTCTTCACAGGTACTCTCATTTTCCTCCCTCATGTCTGTGCAGTACCCTGCTCTGACCTCTCCCGGTGTGCGCTCCTCTCAGACTCCTCTCCTCCTCTCGCTATCTCTCACTTTGCCCTGTCCCTGCTCCATACCTGGCCTCGCTCTTCAAAGGAGAACTCACCTATGTGTCACACAGGTCCAAAGAGACAACAGATAGCCACATGAGAGCGTGCGCATGCGCTGAGGCATGTGCGTGGAGAGGGAACAGGTGCACAGCAGGTGTTCTGATAAAAGTGTACGTTAGCCAGTGATGAATGACTTTAACAGGAAACTCGCCCGTGAAAGGCTGAATTTGCCGAACACCCTAACTCAGGAAGCCCAGCTCCTGTTCACTCCTCAACTGCTGACTGTCTCCACAGTTCTTATCAATTTCTAAGTGATCTTATTTTTTCCCTTTATTTCACTGACTGTCCCTGTCCAGATGAAAGCAGCTCCCTGAGGACAGGGCACCCTCTACCTCGTCCACTTTAATAGGCATTTTCTGAATGACTGCATAAAGGCCCGGCGAGTTCTCAGTGAACTGAATAGCGCCCTCACTCTTGGATGATATGGAGAAAGGCATTTAATAAATACCTGCCAACTTAGGTTACTGTGACGTGGGGCACCTTCGTCTAGGCCAAGCGTATTCAACTCTTCGAAGCTGAAGTTCAGCGTGTAGGGCGTCTGGCTGGAGAGCTCGGTGTGCGGCAGCTCCGCGTGTGCAGGGCGGCAGGCAGGCTCGATGTGCGGAGCAGGGCCGCTGCTGCTCTCACTGAGGAAGCGCGGGTCTTCAGGAACCACCTGGTTCTCTGCGTTTCTCATTTCTAGTATCTTAACAGAAGAAGCGTATGATCAATATCTGCATCGACTCTCCTTCCTGAGACAGGGTCTTGTTCTGGCACCCAGGCTGGAGTGCAGCAGCATACTCAGCTCACTGTAGCCTCAAATTCTTGGACTCAAGCAGTCCTGCCTCAGCCTCCTGAGGAGCCAGGCTGACAGGCACACACCACTGTGTCTGGCCAACTTTTAATATATATATATATATTTTTTTTTATAAAAATAGGGTCTTGCTATGTTATCCAGGCTGGTTTTGAACTCCTGGCCTCAAGCAATCCTCCCACTTCTGCCTCCCCAAGTACTGGGATTACATGTGTTACTGCTGTGCACAGCCCATAAACCAGCGCTTCTCAACCTGTGGGTTGCAACCCCTTTGTAACAATAAAAATACATCACAGCATTAGGATGTGTTTATGGCAGTGAAACTGCCATAAACTGTATTTTAGAAGCTTTAGAAATAGTTTTTAAAAATAAAACATACAAAGTTTATCATAATGAGTAAGCATACTTCTGGTAAGTGAATTTATAGTGAATTTGTACTATATCTACTTACAATACTAAGATAAATCATGGCAGAAATCACCATAGATACGACACTCTGCTTAGCCTATTATACTGTTACTCTAGTTTAGAACTTGAGAACGAAGCAAATACAAGTGGAATGTGTCACTGAAAACCAGAACTGCACAGTAGTTAGAGCAGTGAAAACACTTTATTCACTGGGCTCATCCCTGACCAGCATGGACAAGTGGAATACACTGGCAAGCAGGAGGGAGGGGCTGGTGGCCGGAATGACCAAGACCAAGAGGAAGCCCCGGGTCGGGGGTCTGGAGTTTGGGTGAGGAATATGGTCAGCTATTGAAGGTGATCACATATGGGAGGGGAGCTTTGTCAACTAACAGGACTCTTGCTAAACTGGGCGATGCAGTTTATTGGGGGATACAGAAGGTCAGGGCCTGGGGGAGCCGACCAGAGTTAGGTCAAGGGGAGTCTCTGTCAAGCGGAAGCACGAAGAAGTGGGGGCAGCCTCTTCCCCAAATTTCTGAGTGAACTGTCCAAAAGGCAGAAGGTGCACTGTGCGCCCTGCACAGGGTGTAGAGAGGTGTACGACGTAGTTTACAAACAGTTTTCAATATGCAAAAATACCAGTTTAGACCAGTACTTATTGATACTGGTTTTATATGATGTTACAAATAATCTTGGATGTTAAGATAATATTACAGATATCTTACTGTGGTTCTGAAAAGATGCCAGTCTCCAAAATTCATATTCATCTCTTTCTTCAGTTCATCAATGTTGCACTGAGCCAACACACGGCCATTTATGTTTGCCTAAAAATCAGAGAAAGCACAACTGTAAGGACAAACAAAATGTGAAACGTTCTAAATTCCTAGTGATGAAGAAGTGCACTTATGGCTCAGCACCCGTAGCACAGTGGTTACTGTGCCAGCCACATACACCGAGACTAGCGAGTTCAGACCCGGCCCAGGCATGCCAAACAACAATGACAACTGCAACAAAAAAATAGCTGGGGGTTGTGGTGGGCGCCTGTAGTCCCAGGTACTTGGGAGGCTGAAGCAAGAGAATCTCTTAAGCCCAAGAGTTTTGAGGTTGCTGTGAGCTATGATGCCACAGCACTCTACCAAAAAAAAAAAAAAAGAAGAAGAAGTAGTAGTACACTTCTATTTTGTTTAAGGAAAGTGTTTGCAACTAGAAAGGCTGACCCTAAAAAAGGCTGTCATCTAATGTATAACACCAACAAACAAGCTGAGTGTCCACAACACAGAACGCTCCCTACTTCCTAAGTGCCTTACTGTGCTAGAGCAGAGTGCTCTCCAGGCACCAACCCAAGAGCTAACCCTCTCAACTATTTTCAAAACCACGTACCATGTCATGAACAGCCACAAACTCTCAGTGTTTCTTTCTAACCTTAGAAGTAACAAAGGTATTTATCCTCATAGGTGTGCTTGCTCACTGAGAAAGTTCTTAGTGAAGAACTTATGTTCTTAAGTTATATCACATACTTTCAGCCATGAAAGCACCCACTAACTTCCCAGTGTAATAATTTTACCTCTTTTGGTTGTCTATAATTTTAGTTTTTCCCAAATATGGAACATAGCATTTTCTTTATCAACAATAGGTAGCTTACTGATTTTATGAAATATAAAACTTGCCTTTATTAACTTTGGTAAAATTATGAGATATCTATGTTTAAAGTCAATAATACACTGTTCAGTTTCCAAGTAAATTCTGAAAAACACAGCATGTCTGTGGTGAAGGTCCAGCTCTGGCAACACCAAGGAGTCCGTAGCACGCAAGAAACTGGCCGGCACGTCGGGCTGCAGACTCTAGCCTGGAGTCAGAGGGAGTGGGAAGGAAGCCATCCTCCTGCTGGGAGTGAGACCACCGCAGAGGGAGGACTCGATGCACACCCCACACTCTCCCTGGCCCTGCCCAGGGCTGCAGAGAGAAAGGGGGTCCTGACTCATGCCACCATCAGCATGAATGGCTCTGTGGGGTGGGGAACCACCATCATCTGAAACCTTTCTGGCTAAACGCTGCCTAAGATTAGTTAAACGGTATCTATATATGCTCATAATTCTTTGAAAAACTTCTTGTGGATGCCATTCTTTATATAAATAGCCGAGGCTTGTGTTTTGTTTGTTTGAGACAGGGTCTTGCTCTGTCACAGGGCTGGAGTGCAATGGTGTCATCATCGCAGCCTCAAACCCCAGGGCTCAGTCAGAGCCTGATCAGAGGCTTGTTTTTGAAGTTCTACTTTCTTATAGTATTTGGACAGAAAAAGTATAACTCAGTGGAAATATCTACTGGCACGGACTTGGTTAACCTCAGATAGGGGAAGCCTCCCCTAGAATCTCAGGCCCCACTGCCCAACTTCCTGGTAGCTATTAGAATCGCCAAGAACAGGATCTTAGAAGAAATGAACTTCTGCAAATACACTGGCCTTGCAGACCCAAACCTCCGTGGCTTCAACAAATGTGACATGATCTGACGTCCTATATGACACAAATGAGAATCTGGGGAAAATGAAGCCAGGGCAGCTTCCTCTGGTGGAGTCACACATACAAGGCTCAGCTGAGATTAGACAACATGAAAGGGTCCATTTTCCACAGTGGAAGTGTCAAGTTTCTGTTTTTTCAACATAAAAACTCCTAGGGCCTTACATTTCTCATCAAGACTTTCTTTTACTTATACATAGGTCAATGCAAAAATTCTGAGATACACAAAAATCAAGAAACGTAAAATCCACTGGGACAGAAACAAATGAAGCCCCAGCAATGCCGACAGCGGAGCGTGAGCCAATCAGAAAGGACACTGCAACTGTGTTCCTCAGAGGGAAGTAATGGGCCACGACAGGGCTGTCTCCAAACTTCTGTAGTGACCCATTAAAAAATTAACATGGCAATACAGCTACTTTACTTTCTTTTGTCCATTTGTAAACAAAGCCGTCACAGGGCATTCCAGGAAACAGT